CAATACCCGGATTTCGTTTGGCATACGTTTTGCAACACGCTGCAACTTATGCCTGTAGCTAATAAAAATTCATTATCGAAATATGTATTTGTTACATGCACGTTTTACATTCCTCAAAACTGCTCGTTCCAATATGTAATTCATTCTCCTTAAAGCATGCATGCAATATTTTAAGCAGTTTTAGAACTTTACATGAAAATAACCATTTATTTTTGTGTTTTGTGCTCCATTCGCAAAAATATACAACAAACTAAAAAAGAATAAAAGAGATTAATTGGGAAAAGGATTTCCAGCAAAAATGATTTGGTAGGTCTGGGAGGTTTCGTAAATCGCCTCCTTGTCTATTCAACTACGACACTACACATAAACAGTTCACTTTTATGTTTCAGATAAATCAAAAAATGTCGAAAACCACTCTTATTAAAAAAAATACTAAAAATTATAAAAGAAATCTACTGAGATATAGATTGTATTGAAAGATAGTCAGTCAGTCAGTCAGTCTAGCTCCGATGTTAGGAGCGTAAGCCGGGTTCGAAAAACCCTTGAAACTTTTCACGAATTTGGTAACAAGTAACTCAAAATTACATGAAAATTACGAACATTTTGAAAATAATATACGTGAAATGTTTTGAAGATCTAATATTCAGAAATGCATTGCACTGTTACCTACCTTCAATATTAAACGTGTAAAACGAGTTTTCAACGAAATGAACGTTTACAATTTTCAAAATTCTAAATGGTATGTCATCTTAAGTAACTTTTACTGTGAGTAAAAAATTAAAGAATCTAGTGGGAATACAACAGCATATATTTCTTCGTACATTGATAATGTGTGTTTCTGAATTACTTCAGCTATCACTTGGAAACTCTTAAACAAAGCGCAAAAATTACATATTTTTTAAAAAGTTTAAATGAAAGTAGCTTTCTATCACCGACTTTGTGTATTCATAAATTCGGAGTCTCTATTTACACGATCGCTGCATTCATTATTTCGTGTTTCTGTGCGCGTCGACTGCTGTTGATCATTAGCCTCGTGAATGAAGCGTGTGGTTTTATCTCGGGAGGTGACAGTGCTCTTTCCTCGTTGGATGTCGAGATCTCACACCAACTTACAAGTCGGCTTGAGAGGTTTTCTCTCCCCCCAGCGGCGCACCGCCCCACCCGGAACAGGCCCTAAGCTCCCGACTGGTCTTCCGTCTTGTGTGGTAGTGTAGTGCATGTACACAAGTGTAACTGCGTAAGGGGGGGGGGGCGAGGACAGGAAAAGGAATCTGAAGGAAAGATAACGCGGGGTCCGCGGGGACCAGAGTGCGGAATAACACTTTTGGGAAAAATTGCTGTTTAAGCACTATCGTTCATAGACTGAAAACTGATTGCAAAAAAAAAAAAAAAAATCTTTATAAGGAACCCACCAAATGAGAATTCCGACTACATAACGTGGTATTAGAGAAAGTCATTTATTACACAAGCAGGGGCACCTGAAAGGAGGCAGCTGGGGGCAACATGCCCCCTACACCCCGATTTTACTGAGGCCCCAACATTTTATTTTATTCAAATCAAATAAAAAATGCATTTACTTTTAATTGCAAATAATAGTTTTAAGTTATTCCTGCTGTAGGGAGAAATAAATTCTGTCAATGTCAGGTCTCTTGTTTTCTCTGCATACAGAAGCAAGAATTCCATATTTTTCAATATCAAAGATTCACAAAATGAGTTATTTTACACCAAAAAAACAACAACAAAAACTACAACATAACAATACTTTCTGTACTACGAAAGCAGTAAAAGAAAGTAAAAAATAACTAAATACATTACACAAACATTGTGATTAAGCACCAATATTTGAAAATCCTTATCACGAATTGCAGGTTAATTGGTCTATCACCTGTTCCTGTTAATAATATCTGAAGGTTTGGAGGTTAACCTTGGTATATCTGTTTTTAATGGAGTCTCCCAATGTCTCTTCACCATACTGGATTATACTATATCGGCATTCAGTAGTCATTTTCCATTATTCTGTTGAGGGAGAGTCATTTCTTCCAACCGTTTTTCTCTCTTCTAGATTTTTTGTTCTTTCCATTTTTGATCTAGATTTGCCAGTCTTTCAAGGTGATTCCATCAAGATGTCATAGGAATCTCATCAGTGTGGCTTCATATCTTCAAAGATCTCTACTTTTCAAACGATTCCTATGGTAGTCTCCTCCTATAAAAACTGACATACAAAGAACTCTCTCTTTTTTTAGGGGAAAAGATACCTTATATTTAAGATACAAAAAAATGTGTTGAAATCAATTTTCTTAATTATATTTTATGATGTGATTAGTTGTTAGGAAAACCAATTGAAAGCAAATTTTATTGAAAAAATGTCATTGAATACATTACTATTTCCAGTTGAGGTTATCCTAGCAAACTCTGAAGACAATCTGCAAAGAATACCCTTCAGTCTTTTTAATTTTGCCAAAATATATAATTTAAAAAATCCACCCCTAAAACCAAAGTTATGAGATTTAAAGGAGCCATTCCTATTTGAGCTGTGATTGACATTAATAATAATAATTTCAACAGGTTTCAAATTTGAATTACCTTGTTACAATACATTTAAGAAACAAAAATTCTAAATTCCTGCAACAATTAGGTACAATGAAGCAAACTCTACTGACAAAAGTAAGAAAAAAGAGTGTTATTAAATTTAATAGAACTATGGTGATCCCATATCTTATGTATAGTACAGAGGAATGGACAATAATAGCCCACCAGAATAAGAAGATAGACACAGCGAAAATAAGTCATTGCGATCATAAGCAGGCTACACTCTGAGGGATCATAAAAAAAAATGAAGATATTGGATCATGTGAGTTAACAATAGCATGTAATATTAAAGTTAGCAATACAGGGCAAATATTATATTCATGTAGATCCCAAAGGGACTGCCATCTACAGAGAATGGTCAGTTTAAGTACCGCACTTCAAAGTTTTAAGTAAAAATTCCAAGACTGAAGAAATATAGGATGTCCAAATGAATGAATTTAATGAAGAACTCTTGTGGAATGACAAAAATTCTGACTCTTCGAGGCAGTGGAGCTATTTCTTCACCATTTCTTCCAACAAATTTTAAGGGGAACGTAATAAATGAAGGGCTTGGGGCAAGATAAGCTACAACAAGCATCCCTCATTTGTAAACGTTAATAACTTTATTTTGTCAAAATGAGTCTCCTTTTGTTACTGCCAAAAGCCCTTCTTAATATGAACATATGAAGAGCTTGGTTCGAGATAAGTCCTTGAAAGGTAGAATTCACCCAGACACGAGAGGAAAATGAATTTCAATCCCAAATTCCTCTTCACAGTCAAGAAGAAATATCTACATAGTAGTGTTATTTGTCACAGAAGCACCTTAGTATTCATACAAAATGTTATAATTGAAATGGCAAGTATGTCAGCAGTATTATCTTATTTTTCCCAAAATGGTGACTTAGAGAATCAAGTCCTTCATACGTAGCATTAAGATAATTCAACAAAATTGAGATTAACATTTACAAATCACAGGAGGCTTGCAGTGGCTGGTGCGACTTATCTTGTTACTGCCCCAAGCCCTTCAATTGATCTCGTACAACACGTATTACAAGTAATCAGAGATGCTTTTATAAGCTGTTCAAATTATTCCTTCTAGGGAGTCTGAAAAATCACAATGAAAAACAACTGAAATGATAAAGAAAGATTGAAGGACACAAAGTTTATTTATGAGAATCTATTATTGCCTATTTCTTTTGTTTAGATTTGGCTCCATCTGATGTTTCAGAATGCAATTTATAATTTTTGAAAATGACAAGGTTTTATGGTATTTTCGATTAAATTGTTTAAGCTCACTTCTTTATTCTAAAACATCCATTCAATTTAAAATTGTTTTTCATACTTAAGTGTGGTCATTGGAGATGTCAAAAAAATTTAATGAATGTTTTTTGTATTTGAAAATTCTTGTGACAAGTAAATCTGTGTCACTAAAACAAGAACAAAGAATACAACCACAAACTAGGGAGCAAATTCATGACTGAAGTGAAATCAAGTTCATTTTCCAGTGGTATACAAATTTTTAAAAAATATTGTGCTATTTATAAATATTTGTTGAAATACCATGCATTATACTGCTCAAATAAATAAGTCTATATCCTTTCACGACACCAATTTAGTAAGAGTATCCACCATCGTATTTTATTAACTGACAAGATTTTGGACAAGATATTTATCTAGTATTGAGAGCTTTTCTCAAATTAATTTCTGCTAAATTATGAAAATAAAGCATCTTTAATATGCCATGTCATCTTGTGCTCCAAAAGCAAAATGAAAAGAAAACAAAAAAAAATTTACAAAATCCTCCTCTACTGATAAACAAGAATTTATTTCCATATTATATAAAAACATAATGAGAGAAAAATGGAATTAAAAAATATAATTTTGGTAATAAAAATGTTCCATTAGATCAATGTAAAAATTTTACATTCAATTTCCATAATTATTACATCACTTCATAAAAATTATTTGTACTTTGATAAAAAAAAAGAAAAGAAAAAAAAAACACCAATAACATAAAAAAGAAAGAAAGAAAGAAAGAAAGAAAGAAAGAAACAGAAAAAATATTTAACAATCATAAATTTGAAATTATCATGTAAAAAAATACAGCCTCTATTATTGAAATTTTTTGTATAACCTCCATTATAATACAATACATCAAAGAGGTGTTTTTCTCAGTTACATTTAATTCTGTGAGCAAAGAATCTCGAGTTCACAGTAAAAATAATGTAAAATAACATTTCCTCTAAGAATATATTAAGCATTTCTAAATCAATTACAAATAGAGGAAAAATGTGACCACACATTTTGAGACTGAAAAGGAGAAAAGAAAGGAAACAAGTTTTGGGGTACACATTTTACATAATACAGATTTCAATGTGGTGAAGTGAACACAAATATTTGTAGTTTATTTTTTGTGCCACATTAATACTTTTTACATAATACATTGTTATATATGTAGAAAATGCCTATTTCACTGTTTTACTGCACATTACAGAACACTTGGAAACTTGATGAAAGAAAAATCCTATTTTTACCACCATTATCTCACAAACATCACATGTAATCTTTTACTTGGCTTTGCTTCATGCTGTACTTATAACAAGTGAAACACACGCCCTGTGTATATAAAATGTTCAAAATCTGAATTAAGTACTACAAGGATGATAAATTAACTTGTATCACTATTTCTAAGTACACGTTTTCTTGCATTTCTTCAATAAATTGTCCTTTATGTAGAAAGAGAAATACAATACATAGAAAGTCAACTGATAACGACACTATTCACAGATTGACAGTGTCGAGCAGAGCTCTGAGTAGATAGCAAAAGGTACTTTCAAATATTTTCATTCAACTCTTGCTTTACATACTTATGTAAATACACATGTTACATCCTAATATAGGATGATAGACAAGCTACTCACAAAAGAAATAGGATAAAACAGAAATAATATGGACAGGATTTACACTGAGATTTCTTAATTGTGTGTGCTGCTGAAATAAATTTAAAGCATGTTTTACTTTCAACTAGTTCCCAAGTCTTAGATATTTGTGTATTTGCAAAATATGAGGCAACTGAAAATGATTATTTAGAAAATATGATAAATTTGGTACAATTTTTAACAATTCCAGTTGACCCACATAATGCAGACTGCAGCCTTTCTGACAAATGAACTACAGACTAAAGTATTTTATAATCTAGATGGATAATTATAGTGCATTCTTTTGTGAAATGAGCATATTTTGTAACAACAATGCAATTACGTTCCCAAGTTCTAAAGTGACTGGCAGCTGCTGAATTCAAAGAATATGAAAAGCATTGTACATTGAAGTCAAAGCGGTTAAAGAGAAAGCCATGAAGAAAGGGAAGGGAAAGACAAAAAATAAATAAAATACAATAAATTTCAATGAAATATGTTGAACAGTCATCATTACTTGTTCATAGTACTTTTATAATAATGATTTTGCAAATCTCTGATTAGACCAAGCTCAATTTTTTAATCAGTCAAAATTACAACGTCAACAAGGAAAGCATGGACATAAGGCACATAATGCTCAACATGTGCAATTTTTACATACAGCCTATCCTTCAACTTACATTACACATTAGATCAATAATTAGTTTCTGTGGCTTGTGGCATTTCACATTTGGAAGCAACCTTCTTGTACATAACCTGTATACATGAACTGCGGTTTTAGATGAATAGGTAAGCAATGTAGTTTAGGTACAAGGGAACTGTCTGAAGTAAATAACATACACCATGTTTTCAACAAAGTCTTGACACATTAAAAATTTATTTTGTAAAAATGATTAATTAATAATCTTTAACATTGACTGAAAATAAATAGATTTTTTTGAAGAAAATATAATACTTATTTGGCAGAAGAATCGCTGAAGATGCCAACTGCTGTATTCGACAGAGCTAAATGAAAGCTGAGCACTGGTTTGAAATTTTTCAATTTGTTATAACAATGAGACAGCAATATCATCTAGATTGTTCATCAATTTTGTTAAGTTTTTGATGACTTACCATCTGCCAACTTGAGTCTACAGAAATATCAAAAACATAAGGGGCACAGCAACCCTCCCATCCTGCATTAGACCTAAAGGAAAACTCCCAGTTCTAATAGAGTTTTCCCCTTCATATTTAAAAGCAGTAACAGCCATCAAAGTCAATAGTGGTTGTCATCATGTCTTCAATATCATGGTCATAATTACCAGTAGTAGTCATTCTTGTCAATTGTTAAGATCATTAAATAACAATGATGGGGTATAGGATGCTTACAAGTGATACAAACAGGGGAGCAAGTGGCATAATCAAGTGTTAAGAGTAGCATTATTATCATACAGTAGAAGCCCTAATTCCGGTAGTAGCAATGAAGGTTATTGAAGTACATTTATGTATGGATCGTAATACAATATGAGCTATCAGTGGATTAAAGTGTGAATAGAAGGTCTAACATGCAGGAGAAACTATAAAGAAATGACATCACCCAAATATTACAGAAATATTAAAAAACAAAAACAAATTGTACACAAAATGTAAGAGCAAAGATTTTACAACCACAAAGGAGATACAGAAAAATGTGAATAAATATATGTAATTTGCAAAGGAAGATGCCACAACAAATTTTTTAAGGAGGTGCTTCCAGATAATCTATAAAATGCACTGAATAGGTGAAAGAACACTCACAAATTGAAACTAATAAATAAAACTGGAAACTTAAAGTTGCAGAAGTGGAAGACAAGAGCAGAAAAGGAAAACAGCAATATCTGACATAAAAGCAGTAGCTGTACTTCAATGGAGTGGTCTTCACATGTTGTCATGGCCATTGTATTCATTATATCTACAGAGTAAGTGGTAATTATCTACAGTGGCAATGCAATAATATTTCTAACATGGTAAAGTAGGAGACAGAACCAGGAGTATGAGCAGTGGCAGTGTCGCTGTTTCTTTATGAATAGAAGCAGCCCAACTTTAATAACCACAATAACAATAATACCAACAATAACATCAGTGTGATGAGCTGCATGAAAGGGAAACGAGCAGAAAGAAAACAGGAAGGAGGTGACAAAAAAAGCAGGGAGAGCTGTACAGTAACATTTGAAATGGCAGCAGCAACAGTAAGGAGCAGGACTAACGTAGTGTTGCTAGGCATTTTTTCTTGGCATGTTTATTTGGAGTTAAATAGCCTGAGAGGACAATCCCAGTGCCATGGCTTGCCCCTAAGTGAAGACTACAGTATATTTGGTGAGACTAGTTGTTCTTTCCCTACATACAAATGCAAACCTCTATCAGTCAATTAGTTGATACTTTCTTTTAAAGTTACTTGAACAGCCCATGGAAAGTTCTTATAACTAATGCATAATTGCAACATCTAGATTGGCTTTTTCTCTTTATACAGACAGAAAATTGCACTCACACAACAGATTTACAGAGTAAACTAGAGTACAGAGAGTTGTTTCCAAAAACCACAACTCGAGCCAGCACTGAGGCAGTAGCCTAGCTTGAGGTGTGACCTTTCGATAATCAACACTTCGAGATGGAATAAAATCATTATTGATGTTGCATGCCCAGCTTCAACACAAGCTTTGCAGCAATCCCACTAGAGTAGTCAACTACACATTGCTCAACAACCCAGTCTAATAGAACTGCTTTCTCAGAAGAGTATTCTCAAATTTACAGTATGATAGTAAAGAACATTCAACAATATGATAATTTCCCTCCCTGGAACATTTTCAGAGGAGAAAACATTAATGGTAACCACGGGCACCCTGCAACAATCTGTATTGCTCTGTTCCACACTTCAGCCTTGTAATTCATTCACCAACATAACACTTCTAGCTAAGCAGTTCACAACTACTTCACCATTTCAAACAGTTAGTTCCCCAACCAAACAGAACATTCTTGCTTCACACACGTTTCCATTTATTGCCGTGGTTATATTTGTAATAATAATGATAAAAATAATAATAATAATGATAAAAATAATAATGTAATGGCATAATAGTAATCTTAGTAATAATAAAAATAAATTAATAATAATATTAATAATTAATGATAAAGTAAAACACTTTCAAATTCAACATGATCTTAGATTCTAGCAGGAACAAGAAGTACACCAAGAAAAGTCGATAACAAAACCTCTCAACAGAGAGCAGTTACAGATGTAAATTTACTGCACCATACCACCTGTGCATGGCCTGTTCTTGCAGTGAATTTGAATTTTTTTATTTTTTAAAACTTTTTCCCCAAAGAAGAATCAACATGAAACCTACATCTACAGTGGTTAATTCTGGCACTCAACTTTTAAACAAGGAGAGGCATTTGACAATAAAATCAAACTATTCAATTTTAACACTGTTCAACATTTCAAACACAAAATTCTGCCTCCCCTCTTAAAAGACACTTGGCATCCTGTCTTCTTTTCCAGAATATAAACTAATTATCTTACAATAATTACACGCATACAAAGCCCTTGCTGAGCAACCCTTCCCTCCTCACTAATCAACCTTTCTTTCACCAGTTCTGTAAATTCATTTTACATTGTTTTTCTCACTTCCAATCCAACAATGGTATAACTGTAACAAACTTACCTTAAATTGTCTTTTAAACATTTATTCAAAAGCTCTAACCACAGCTGCATAACATACCACACTGATGTTCTTATGTACATCTGTACTTTCACTGTGTGTAAACACTCACATCACAAACACTGCTAGCTGATGGTTCTGTCTGCTTGTTTCAGTCTATCATATGCAGTTAAACATCATGCCTACAACTCAGATGCAGATGAGTGAGTGATGGGCAGGCAGTAGGCAGCAGGCGGCAGCAGCAACAAACAACTAAGATCCTGAGAGGAGGAATGGAGCTGCAAGGATAGGGAAACAAAAAGGGCCCAGCCCATTTCCCTATTTGTGAATGAAGGATGCTTGTGAAAATAGAAAATTTAGTTACTTTAATGATTCAGGATAGTGGTACATGAGAATTAATGAGTTTGGGTATGGGAAGTGGCAAGTGTTGAGGCTAACAGCAGAGGAAGTGGAAGTAATATGGGTGAAAATGATAGTGAACGAAGCAGCAGTGGCAGTCGTGTTGGTTGTGCTTGTGATCGTAATTGCAATGGTTGTCATGGTAAATGAACAATGTCATGGTACAACAGTGACAGCTGGCAACAGTGGGGATGACATGTTGACACATGATAATGACCAAATGACTGATTAATGATGGTGGAAATGGTGGCAATGATTACAGAATTGTTAATGATTATGCTAATGGAAATGATGTCATGATATGATTACCTGGGCGTCATGAGTAAAAGGAAAGAAGCAGGAAGTAGCCTAATTGTATCCCACATACTTCAAAAAGATCATTCTTATTACTAAATGAAGTAAAAGATTATCACCGTCAAATATATTCCTCTGATTGGCAAATCTGCCCACACCCAGCAAGAGCACATCAGATGGCAGAGAGTTTCTATTAGAGGAGAGGCTGTCCTTAAAATATTTTTGTACATTTTTAATGTTTCTTGATTATATGTACCAGTACTTGTCATTAAGCATAAATGACAAATAATTTAAATGGGATATATGAGATCACTCTTGATCACATTATGCATGTTTTTCACACAGAAACTGTTCTCTTGCCACTGCTGTCATCACAGATCTTGCAAACTGAAGGAAAAAGGTCTTGGGTGTAGGTCAGGATGATGGGACACCATGGATTAGAAAGACTACACTGCTGTTTCAGTGTGACTGTGAGATGATAAACGCTCCACATCGATCTCTGGTATTGTGAGCTCATCCATAACGTTATCAGCGTAGTCAATGGAAGAAGTTTGAGATAACCGCTTGCTAAGAGATGTCTGCTTCCTCAGGACCTCGGCCAGAGTAGGATTATCACTGTACCGAGCATCTAGACCTTGACGGAAAGCATTAACTACTCGAATCTGAAATAGAGAAGAGAGAAAGAAAAATACTACAATGACTTGTAAATTATGAATTTTCCATGTGTCATGCCTGGAGTTTCAGCAAAAAGTGCAGGGTTAGAATAGCGATATATACTAGTAATCTAACTCAGATGACGAGACCATCCACAACAAAATATTAATGTTTGGCACTTGTGTGATATTTGACACCTTGCATACTGAATTGTGTGCAATACAGATTACCATACAATATACAGAATAGAAGTTTATAATTTATCTAAAAATTAGTAGAACTGGGCTACTTCACTTACCAACCTTATTATGCTTTAAAACAGCAAATTGCTCAGCTAACAGCATCCAAATTTTTTAATCTCATTTACCTTGATGATGTTAAAAGGTATTAATTTTCATCTGTTATATTAAACTAGAGATTTCAAGTATAGTTTCACACAATGAAGAAAAAAAAAGGCACAAAAATGTTAATAAAACAAAATTGAAGATTAGAACAAAGATAAACATGAGGTTAGAATGAAAACAAGAGTACAATTCAGTAATAAAATTTACCTTCTAGATCCTTAATAATACTGGAAATAGAAAACTAGAAATTGCTCTGAAACATGTTTAAGTAGACAAACAACATTCTACACCCACATGAATGAAAATACAAAAACAGAAGAAAAAAAACAAACAAAAACAAAACTCATGACTGCAGTACATATCAAGACTAAAACAATTTTCACAGATCAAAATGATACAAATGACAGACAAATGTAAAATACTCAGAAATTCACGAAAAGAAAAAAAGGCACAAAGAAGGAAGAAAGTGTCACCATGCATTTTATATTATAGTGCATTAGAAACAGTCAAGACTAGACAAACTGTTTCCACTCTTCAAAATACACATTTTTCTACTTCAATTACCCCATAAAATAGTTAGCTCAAATGTTTACACTTGTTAATGAATTCTTTCTCTGTATCGTGAAACAATTTCAGTATTTTCGATCTTCTGATCATCAAATAATTTGGAATTTGAACATATTACTGAAAATCAAATAGCAAATAAGTAACCAGAAAATCAACAAGTATACATTGCAAAGTAATCCAATTTCTAGTTTCAGAGGAACTGAATCTGATTGAGATTATCTCTTCATCTTTTCAGAGTACTTAAGACTAAAAATATTATACACACACTATGAAAGAAATTTCCCCAAGTAGATATTATTGGATTAGAGTTAGTCCATTTAAAATTCATTTTAAAAACATTAAAACTTTTGGAAAGTAAATCATACCAAAATACAATGAAGGTAACAGTGACATGAATAATAGATTAATAGTAGTCTCCTTCCTTCTTCAAGTGTGCCAAATTTATACAAATTAAAATTTCCAACTCCGATTTGTTTAAAAACTAAAATAGTTGAAGTGACTAGACTTTTCTGTCTTAAGACATGCACACAAGACATTAAATTTAAACATTAGTACTGCAGAAAAGTTCAGTAAAATCAACTCAAATACAATATCCCATCCCTATTGCATGAATAAATTCTGGATTAATTTCATATACATATAGTTTTTGAAATCAGGCCATATTTGAACATTCTGTTTAATCTGATACTCACACACCCATAGTGTGGTTGCCACCAGTAGAAACATGCAGTGTTGAAGAAGATGAGGTAGAAGAAAAAAATTGGTGAAGAATGCAAAGTACAGCCACTTACTCGTCCAGAACATGTGTCTTCAACTTCTGTAAAGCTGAAGGTATTAATAACAAAAGAACTGAGATAATGAAGTATGATTAGTACTGACAGCTTTGTCACACTAGCATAACTAATGAAATGAGCCATGGAATCCACAAAGTGGATCCACAAGTGGAGTGCTGTCCACACGACACACACATCCTTTTGTTGCAGTAAGAGAGGAATGCAACTCGTACTCTATTATCAGCAAATGTACTAAATTTTGCTATTAGTATCAATCCATGCATTATGGCTTGATGCCTCAAATACTTCTGGGCGACAATTTAAAATATTGCATACTAATAGTCTAAAGTATCCACTTCAAAAGCATGAATTTATAGATAAATATCACTTTTGGTAATAGATTACTTTAAAACATTAAGCTTATCTCAATTCAAACTTACAGAAACCAAATTGCTACATACACGATGCAAAAACAGAACATTCTGTATAGAAAAAAAGTCCACATTCCCTTCTGTAATTTCCTTTTTCATCCAATCACAGGGAAAAATCATAAACAAAAATACACATACCGTATTATATGTAATTAATAGAATTTGTAACACACCATTGACCTTTATTTTCTTTTTTCTTTCTATCTTTCTTTTTTTCCCATTTTTATGAGAAATCACCCAATAATAACTGAAAATATTAACATGCATTCTTTTCAAAATTGCTTCCTATTGGCAATTAAAAATTTCAAAGGAGAGCCTACAAAACATAATATTCAAATCTACTCTTTTTGTATATTTTCTTACTATTAAATTAAATTTCATTCATTGCAAAATTACCCAATAAAGTATTCTTGCATACGACAGACTTGCAGAATTAAAGTTCAATTAAGTAGGCCTATTTGCCTCACCACATTGTTAAAACTAACATTTTACTTCGCAATCCTCAAACAGATAAATAAGACAACCAAGAGGTAAAAGAACATAACCGAGCATATAAAAATAATAAGCCAGGTTCAATACTTGTGATCTGTGTGTTCATTAAATACAATGTGACTTTACATGTATAAATCAATGTGTATGCAGATTGCTGTATTATTGATACATACGTTAATTACACATACACATTCATTAATACAGAAAGCATATTTGTTTATTGCGCAAGGCACTATGAACAAGTTTTCTAATTATATGAAGACACTAGAGTTTCTATTACAGAACAGAAACAATATTGGAACTTTAATAACCAACATGATATTTTCAATAAATCTATTTACATAAAACTAAATGTTAATATCATTGAAGAAAACATTACTTCAGTGAGACTACATATCAATAATAGTAGAAGATACAATATAAACAAGATCAGTACATAACTGTTTGCAGAATACATAACCGTTTTTGAATACGTACATTTTAATTTGAATACGTACATTTTAAAATAAAAATGCAACAAAATTGCCATACATATTTGCCATCTTATTGCCTTAGGCATACATACTAACTTACACCTTACTTTAAAGAAATTCCACCATTTACCACCCAATTCTTATGAATGAAATACAAAAGTCTTTGTAGAAAATCTGTCACAATCTGCTTTGATCATTGTTATCATATTGCACACATTTATAAATTAAAATAAATATTCATACATATGCTTATCCAATAAAATTTTAAGATACTACATTTTTTAAGAAAAGGAAGTAAAAAAAAATATGCACTGGCAAATTATTTAAACAATATTAACAAGAGTTGAGACATAAGATACTATACTTAACAAGATAAAATAAATCATACATACATTATAAGTAAGTTCTAATATTGTTTTGTTGATGTCAAATACCAACATACTCATAAAAATTGCTAAAACTATTTCACAAATAATATGAGAAAACAAATTTTAAACCTAAGGTCTTTCATAATGAAATTCACTGTTCCCAAATTGAGATACTATAGTTACACATGAACAACAGTCTGCTTAAGAAAATTGTATACATTCAGAATGGTATTACACATAGTTTATAATTATATTCATTAACAACACACAATACAAGTAACTTCACTAACCCAGCAAACTTCCACTTCCACATGATTTGCCCTTACAATGAAATTGGAAAGGATTAAGTGTGATCCCAATCTAAAAGGTGCTTGTGAAGTGAATATACATATGTACATGAACTTCATCAGTCAAACACATGCACACACCAACCCTACAGCCACAAATACATCTCTCTATGCTCAAAAAATATACATGCTGCATGTAAAATACAATTTGCCACTGTCTGAAATAATTACTGACCATTATCTACACATTGGTTTTGCAAAGTTACTGCTTATAGAGAGCAATGAGCAGAAAACAAAGATGCTTGGATGGTCATACTTCCTCTCAATATTTCACACACAAGTTGAATTTGAAGTGAATTTTCCTATTTGTTTCTATTGAATGAGCACTAACAAGATTTACTTAATCATTTTATTGACTCAGTGTGTGAAAGGATAAAGATTTGGGGGGGGATTAAATTGCGATTATGAGAAAATTTAAAATCTAATAGTATGTTTTGATGACAAATGAATGTAATATATAAATACTAGAAACCTATTGTATTATTAGTCATTAGTATGATATTAAGGTTTTCAAAATTAATAAAGTGAGCTAAATGCTGTACAAAAAGACCATAAAATTTCTACACATTTTGCAGTTTGCGATGCATGCAGTGAACACTCATGGAACATACATTGATGTAGTTGAAAGAGATGGCTCATAATGAACAATGTTGAGTACGTGAGTTATAGATTTGTAGCAGAAGCAATGAAATATAACACTGAAATCAACATAACTGCGCATAAGAGTCACGTAAAATATTCTTTGATTCCCTGAAGGAGATAGACAAAAATTCCAACACTACAAACCATTTTGTTATATGAGCAGCAAATTTTCTCACTCAAAACTGTTCCCAAAAATTAAATATCAAGTCAATGTCAAATATGCCCATAATTTTATCCAAAATTTTACATACCAATACAACTACATATAAAAAAATAAAAATCTTTTAAGCAAACATGCAGAGGCTGATTCACATTCACAGGATTACAAACCTACACATTTGGCCCCATGAAACCTTGTTTACGGTGTAATTCAAAAGTCATGCTAATAAATTTATATTCAACTGTCAACCAGATATCACTGGAAAATTAAGTATTCTACATTTAAATATTTATGTAACAATAAATCACCTCATATTTTACATTTAAGGCTTTATATCTGTACTATCTCAAGGTCTATTAGGTCTTAAGGTTGTGATGGAAATTAACCAATGACACTAAATTTTTCCACGAA